AGCTATATTCTCTTAGCCCCTTGAATCCTTGATTTCAATGAGCTTCCTCAGTCTTCACTTCCTGAAACCATATATACAGTCATGTCTAGATCTTGACATCATCTTCACCTGATCTAAATTTGAAGAATTAAAGTCCAGAATGACAATCTGACCACTGGTTCTTCCTATGTTCAAGCTCTCTTACTACTTTATAGCCATGTCTTTTCACTTAGGTCATTGAGATTTCATGTCCCTCTACTTTTAAAAATTTGTTCTAATTAGTTGTGTATGACAGTAGAATGGACTTTGACATATTATACATAAATGGAGTATAATTTCTCATTCTTTTGGTTGTACATCACACCGGTTGTGTTGTCCTATATGTACATAGGGTAATAATGTCTGATTCATGCTACTATTTTTCCTACCCTCATACCCCCTCCCCTCCCTTCACCCCCTCTACCTAATCTAAAGTAACTCTATTCTTCCCTAGCTGCCCCCAACATTGAAAATTAACATCCATATAACAGAGAACACATTCAGATTTTAGTTCTTTGGGACTGGTTTATTTGGCTTTGTATGATATTCTCTAGCTCCATCCCTTTACTGGCAAATGCCATAATTTCATTCTTCTTTAAGACTGAGCAATATTCCTTGTATAAATATACCACATTTTTAATCAATTCATCTGTTGAAGGATACCTAGGTTGGTTTCATAGTTTATCTATTTTGAGTTGAGCTGCTATAAACATTGATGTGGTCATGTCACTATAGTATGCTAATTTTAAGTCCTTTAGGTATAAACTGAGGAGTGGAATAGCTGGGTCAAATGGTAGTTCCATTCCAAGTTTTCTGAGGAATCTCCATATCACTTTTCATAATGGTTGCACCAATTTGCAACCAATTTCTTTCACATCTTTGCTAATATTTATTGTTGCTTGTATTATTGAAAATTGCCATTCTTACTGGAGTGAGATGAAATTGTAGAGTAGTTCTGATTTTCATTTCTCTAATTGCTAGAGATGTCATATATCTTTGTGTATATTAGTTGATTGATTGTATTTCTTCTTCTGTGATGTACCTGTTCAGATCCTTAGCCCATTTATTTATTGAGTTATTTGTTTTTTTGGTGTTAAGTTTTTTGAGTTCTTTATATATCCTGGAGATTAATACTCTATATGAGGTATATGTGGTAAAGATTTCTTCCCATTCCGTAGGCTCTCTGTTCACATTATTGACTTTTTTTCTGAAGCTTTTTTGTTTGAATCCATCCCATTTATTGATTCTTGATTTTACTTCTTGTGCTTTAGGAGTCTTTTTATGGTGAACATTTGGGCCTACTTTTTTTTTTTAACTTCTTGGTCTAATAGTGATTTATAGTGTTATTTCTTTCTTTATCCAATCTGGGCCATAAAAGAATAGTCCTACCTTTTATTGTTCAGAACATGTAATATGCTAATTCCCTTATTTTATGATATACCCATTCTGCAAGTTCTAAATGTTGGATCTGGGATACTGGGTGCTAAGGAGAAGTGACAGGGACCATCACTAATGTGTGGATTCAGTAGGTTCCTCAGCAATTATGTGTCAAATGTCTGCATATCCCTATCTACCCTATCTAGATTCCTCTCCTGAATCCTATAGCATGTTCTAGATCTTCACCACTTTTGACTCTTTCCACACTAATACCATGCTGAAAAACTTGACGGATAGTCTTTCCATTTCAAAGACAAAATAGAAAGAATCATGTTGGACTCCTTCAACATACAATATACCACTCCTTCAAAGGTATCCATGGGAGCTTTTACACGTTCTTTCCTCTGGCCACAGAGAAGAACATAACTAAAAGATGTTAATATTCAAATATCAGTCTGTGTTCTTGACCTGATCATTTCTCTTTCAGCGATTCCTTCTTTCTCTTCTACATTAAGCTGTCTATATTGTCATTTACTGTCAGTTTTGCATTTGCTATGACCAAAGTACTTGACAAGAACAGTGTAGAGAAGGGAAAGTTTATTTTGGGTCACAGTTTCAGAGGGTCAGTTCATGGTTTGTTGAGTCCATTGCTCTGGGCCAAAGGCGAGGCACAAAATCATGGAAGAAAGGCGTGACAGAGGAGTACTGCTCACCTCACTGTGGCCAGGAAGAAAATATAGGGGTAGAGGCTGATGGAAAGATGTATCCTTCCAGGGCACACCCCTAGTTACTTACCTCCTCCAGTGCCATCTCACGTACCTACACTTACCACCAGTCAGTCCATTCAAACTAGGATGGACTGATTAGGTCACAGCTTTCACAATTCAATCATTTTACCTACGAATATTCCTGCATTAACACAGGGGCTTTTGAGGGAAATCTCATATCTTAACCACAACACTTACCTTCTCCATGCTCAAGCCTTCTTAAAAAAAAAAAAAAAAAAAAGGAAAACCCTCAATTGAATTTGAATCCATCCTTGAGCTGCCAATTCCTTCTCCAAATCAGATGGGTCATTGTCTTTTTATGCTCTTCTGCCTTTAAACCAAATTTCACAACTTCAGCACTATTGATATTTTGGGTTTGATAATACCTTGTTGGGGCCCTGTGTACTCAAGGGGTGTTAGCAGCATCCCTGGTCTTTGGTCTTTACCAACTAGATGCCAGGAGCACTCCCCCTACCAGTTGTGACAACAAAAATGTCTGTAAAAACTGCAGGGTGTGTGTGCAAAATCATCTCAATTGAGACTAAACTCATAACACTGGCTGTTTAAACAGGCGTGCACTGAGACTCTGAACAGACCTTGTTAATGTTTCATTATCAGGGGAGGATGTAGCTGATTTTACTACTGGAGTGACCACAATAACAAATGATTTTGTTTTCTTCAGAAGCTATGCTGATGGGAAACCAGTAGTTCTAAAGAGAGAGGACGTGAATATTCACATCCTGGTAATATTCAGAGTGGACATTAAGAGACCATGTGAGTTTTAGTCAGCTGTTTTGTCACTGTGGCTAAAAGACCTGACAAGAATAATTTGAGGAGGGAAAGTTTATCTGGGGGCTAATGGTTTCAGAGGTCTCAGTCCATAGACAGCCAACTCCATTCCTCAGGGCCTGAGGTGAGGCCGAGTATCTGTGGAAGAGTGTGATGGAGAAAAACAGCTAAGGACATCTCAAGAGGAAGGAGGGGG